ACTTCATGTTATTTTTGATTTGAGCACACTCTTTTTCTCAGTGTTCCTGACTGCATTGAAATTCAAATGCATTTTGTTCTGAGTGTAGCTCTGTTGATGATATGACTTGTTTTCAGTATCGAATGAGCTGATTGGAAACATATTTTAGAGATCCACGGTCTTTGAACTGACCTTCTGTACCCATTGCATGAGCAAGTCCTAAACCAGTGGCAGCTTGCTTGTCATTTATCAAGGTGGCTCTTTAAAACTTGTCCGGCACAGTGTTCCTTTGCCAAGGGAAACTGAAAGCCACAGTGTATTGCATGTAGTATCTTTGTCGAATGCAATAATAAATCTTTCTGTTGCGGAGTTGCTTTAATCTTTGTACTTGTAATGACAGTAAATGTGTTGTGGAATGTATGTGGAAGGTGAAGGCCGTATCCCATAGACATTTTAGACGAGGCACTGACACACTGATTGGGTCCTAAGTCTGGGTCCCCAAGTGTGCTTAGTCAGAAAGTGAGATCACTCTGACCAATAATGCTTGCGGCCAAGGCTTGGAAGTGAGCTACACCTGTTCCGCCGGCTTTCATTTCGGTATGGTGCTCCAAATGCATCCTATAAGCCAAGTGCGAAAACTTGGGTCCTTTAGAAACACTTGGAAACACCAGGGACAATGGGGGCCTCCAAAGATACCCGGGTACACCATGGATACCAGGGACTCTTAGATCCACCACGGATACTGGGGTCTTCCAGGGACACTAGAGTGCTGCTGGGACACTTGGATTCCCCATGGTCGCTGGGGCCCTTAAGGGCCGCCAGGTTGTGAGAGTCGTTTGGAGTATGTAACCTGTACTCCTTTCAAAACATAGAACATTCTCCTCACTCCATAAAGTTTCTGCTCTTACCTCACTCCACACCCACAACCTGAGCTTATCTTCAACCACTGTTCTGATTTTTTCCCTATCACAGATTACTTTTTGCCTGTTTTTGAAATTCATACCAATAGAATCATATATAGTTACTCCTTTGTGTATCTTATTTTGCTTGGTGTAATCCTACAATAAATTTGAATTCATAATAAAAGAGGAAATAAATGTTTCCTATACACCAGGAAGTCTCATAAGTGCTTTACATATATTAACATCCTAAACTCTCAATACTAGTCTATGAATTAGGCACTCACTTTTCCATTTTACAAAAACTTTGTTACTTGCCTGAAATAACCAGGCTATTAAGTGGTAGAGTCTAGACTTGAACCCAGTCTCTCCCCAAAGTGAATACTCTGAATTGCCATGCCGTGGAGCACTGTCTCTGTACCAGTGTGCAACACAAGAGCTACAGTGATGAATCAAATATAGTCTTTGTCTTCATGGTGTTTACAACCTAGTGGGATTTGGGATGGAAAATATTAGTCAAACAAAGAGAGATGTTTATATGATAATAAGTGCTACTGAGAAAAATAATTCCCAATAAACATAAGAAAAGTGGGAACAGGAGACTTACTTATTTAGAGATGGGAAAGCCTCTCAGTTCAGGGGACATTTGAGCAGAGACTCAATGAACTGTGGCTTCAAGAGGGAATATCAGTCTAGACAGTACAAAGACCCTAATGCAGAACTATGCTTGGGTAATAAAGCTACAGGAATACCAGTGAGGCTCCAGTGGAGGAAAGAAATAGAGTGGTGGAAGGTGAGGTCAGTGATGTAGGAGATCCCGATTGGGGCCTTCTAGAAAATGGCAAGTATGTTTCGTTATACTATTAGTGCAATGGCATATCACGAAATCAGAACAATCCATGTTAAAGGGACTAGAGAATAAGAAAACCAAAAGAGGATGTTGCATATTTGGTGGCTGGAAGAAGAGCAAGGAAGCAGAGGTGAAGGGAAGGAGCAATTATTGAAATATGAGGACACAGTAGAGAGAAGACTGCACTACGGGGCTGAGAAGAGGTCTACGGTAGTATCCAGACCCAAGTTCTCCTGCAGGGATACAGCCAGAATGGGACCTCACTCCACTGAATTCCTCTGATCTCCTACCTGGGCTCCTCATTGACCAACCTAGATAGAAGCACTAAGGCAAATGAGCCCATTAGAGTAGTCCATACGGGTTAACCTCTCTAGTCCACCTCTCTAGTCAAGGTGGAGAAGAGTGGGTCTGGAAGAATAAATAGAACATAATCCACACTGTCTACTCCCTTCAACTTCTTGACAGACTCTTGTCCTTCACCTAGTTATAAGTTCATGTTCTCAAACAAGATACAAAGAAAGCCCATTGGCTACTGTATTGTCCTAGGGTAGTATCAATTTGATCAAACGCCCACTAGAAACCTGAGACTTTTGGCACAGCCAGTGTTTTACACATAAGATAAAGAAAGAAAAGAAGGCTCATGGGGGTAAGTGGAAAAAGAACAATTAACTAAAAATATAGCTGCCTTCTGTTCCTGTATCTGCGCCTGGTCAGACAGCCTTGAATTCTTTTACAACTCTTTCCATGTTCCCCTTCTCTCTGCCAGCCCCATGAGGCTCAATACTTGACAGTGTGAGCTTAGCTCAGGCGGAGATTTTTGCTTAGTGAGTTCTATTGAGTATCTCTTAAGGAGAGAACCAGGATTGGAAAGAATAAGAGAATGAACTGTAATCAGTTAAAAACAGATTGCAGTTGATCCCATGGGGAGCTCTGGAGCTGGGGTGGCTCTTCAGGAGTGTCTCAGATTGAGGCAAAGGAACTGGGCCTTTGTACTCCTCACATGAACCAGTCATTAGAAGTGGGTTGTTCCTAGAGAGTGGCCATAACTCTAGGTACGGCACTTTCCTTTGGCCCAAGGGAATTCCCAGGGAGGATGGCAGCATAAGCCATTAGCAGCCAACACTTTGAACAGCTGGGGGAGTGAACGACGGTCCTGAAAAGAATTAGAAATATATGTCTCCATTATGGCCCACCACTTATATGGCCCAGATGCACTTGCTTCTTAAAGTGCACACAGCATTATGGTTGGTCTTGTTGCCTCGAGAAACAAGAGGAAGATCACTAGGATAAATAATTGATAGCTCTTGACAGCAGCTTTTCGTGATGTTGCAATTGATGCCTCTAACAACTAGAGGTATATCAGCACACTCCTCTACTGTCCCATTCTAGATTCCCTCCATGCTCGGCTAGCACCTCTGCTGGTCTAGAAACCCCTGGCACCATGTTCTTCTCAGGATACAGCTGCTACACTTGTGTATCAACCACATTTAAGAAAGATATCGAGACATCTGAGTACCAAATGTCTCCTCTGCCAACATTGCATAACAGAAACCCCACATCTTCTGGAATGACAGGTGTCTTCCTTCCCTCTGTGCTTGTCTCATAGCAGTCATAAAATTCACCAGGACCCTTAGGTTACATTTTTTGTGCGTTCTTCCCAAGAGCCCCAGGACCTATCATACATAAATAACACCTGTGGAGGCAACTTTTTAGAGTACATGTGGGAATACCAATACTTTGGCAACACCCTGGACACTACAGTAGCTTAAAGAACTGCTATGCAGGGATACAAAGTTTCCATTCAGGTGACTGACAAAAGTGGATTCCAAGAAGCAACAGGGATGAACGTTTCTGAACTTGCACTTGCCCCAGTGGATCCACTTTGACTATCTTGCTGCACTCAGGAAGTTAGTCAAGATGAACTATATCAATGGGCTTTCTTACCTTATGGCTTCTGGTTGGGTTCGGTCAAGGGGAGCCTAGGAATTAAATCAAAAGGATGAAAGAAGTCTTGCCCGAGTTGATTTCTTACAGAACCTGGGGCTGCATGTTACCTCTGACCACCTCTCACCTGCTGAAATACAACTCTCTCGTCTCCAGATTTCAGTAATTGTTCCCCGCACCTGCCCCTTCAGGCTCAGGGGTGCTTAATAGAGCCCTGCCCTTATCAGCTACTAGGTAACAACTATCCTTTGGGGCTTTTTCTACATCCTCTCTATAATTCTATGAGTAGCCACAAATTGTCCAAGTCAGTTGTTTCCTGCTGGGATTCTTAACATGCCAACTCACTGGAAGTATAAGGGAAAGCCCTAACAATGACCCACAAAACCCTTAAGATAGCGATCTACTAAGTCTATGACCAAATTATCGTCTACCACTCTTTCAACATCCCCGACTTGTTCTACTCCATTGATACTGACCTCCACATGGTGGGCCTTGGCATGTCAACCCTGCTCTTGCCTGCCAAATTCATATGACTCGCTGTCCCACCTCATTAGGGTCTCTGTTCAAGTGTCCCCTAAGAGGCTTTCCTTTCCTATTCTGTATAAAATAGCAAGATCCAAATCCCCCTTAACTATCTCACAGTACTTGAATTTTCCACATAACACTTGTATTTTCTTGATTTTTCTGTAATCTGTCCTTCTCCCAGTAAAATATAAATGCTTCAATGGCAAAATATGAGTTTCATTCATTGCTACAGACACCAGTGCCTCAAACAGTGTTTGCCTTTTAGAAATAAAGAGGCTAGTAGTTAAGTGCACACTGTCTCAACTCAAATCTGGGCTCTACCATTTACTAGTCAATGAACTCAGGCATGTAACCTAAGTGTACCATGCCAGTTTTCTCAACTGTAAAATGAGGATATTAACAACACAAACTTCATAAGCTTTTATTGAATATTCAAATTTAATATTCATAAGGCATTCAGAAGTGTCCAGTATATGGGAAGGGCTATATAAATGCTTACTTATTAACGTAGTGAAATATGTGGCTATAAAAATATGGCCCCTACGTAAAAGAAACAATTCACAAGAAAAAAACTAATGCTGCATGTGCTTAGTTACCTTACATCAAAACATATACAGAAAAAAATGACGAAATTACAAAAATGAATCTTTTAATTTATAACCAAAATGGAAGACTATCACTAAATTAAGTTTGAGGAAAAACTCTGTGCATACTATATCGGAAAACACAATTAGCTTGATTTAATAAGCACATATAGCCTACATTCAAAAATTACAGAATACACAACATTTTCAAACAAAGAGAACATTTATAAAGTTGGACCAATAGGTTTACCAGTTAGATATTGCATTCAGCTGGATATTAACAGAACACCACCTGAAAAATAAACCCAAAAAAAATCACTTTGGCTCTCTCTTAGAGGTTACTTTTAATCATGTTAAGGAAAAATCTAAGATTAAGCAGTCCAGAGTTAACACAGCCAATCAAAGCTTTTGGGGAGCCCATATCTTTGTGATTTTTTGCTACATTTTTTGTCATCATAATCAAAATAGAACTAACTCTTCCAATTCCAGGCCAAGCCCACTTTCAAGAGAAAAAAATAGTTCAGATGACTAAAACATAGGCAAACAAGACAGATGACGTTTCCCCAGTGACTTCTACCACTTCTCATGGCCTGCAGACCAGGACAACACATATCTGGGCTTCGGGAAAGCCTTTAATACTGAGTGCTTTCAATATTGCTCGTTGACAACTTAAACAGAATGGTTTGTTTTCTTTATGTAAGTAAGTGGGGGAGAATGGACATTGGGAAAGAAGCTAAAAGTAAATTCGATACCAGGAAAGAAAGATAAAGAATCAACATCACAAAGTCCACTTGACAAAAACGTCATTAAATTAGAGAAAAGTATATAGTGTATACACAGTCTAACTTTCATTATGTTTAAATCACTCAGGGGATATTCAGAAATACCTTTTTGAGTATGTACTGATATTTTTAAAAAGTAGATAATAAACATGTTACATACAAAACTATGGAACATAATTTCAGGTTTATTTTAGGGTGTAGCTATAGACATAAATGTTTATACTAAAACAAAACTGAGAATTAATGAGCAAATGGATCAGCCTAAGGATTAGGTACTGTCAAAGGTAACAGTACACTTTCCGCATTTACAATTTTCACTTCCAGGTTAAATTATTTTGTGGCCACTCAGTGAAGAGGTGAAGCTGACATTTGTCTGTGTTGATTATATCCCTAGGGTCTCCCTCTAATGTGAGTTCTCACAAGTCAACAAAGACAAGAATCACTGAAAGATCTTCCAAAGTTAACACACGCCCAGGTTTCACATCCAGGGAAGAGTTTCATGCTTCCTCTGCTATGAGAGGCACCGCTGAAGATGCCCCTTGTTCTTTACATCCCTGGATTTCTTTGCAGTGAGTTGTTTTCTCAGGAATGGGAAAAAAAATGGAAGACTTTCCAATACTGGTGATATTTAATGGGACTTCATCTCCAGAATAAACCCTCGTATCTCTTAAAAATTGAGAGAGCGTTTAAGGCTTCCCATTACATTCAGAGTAGCTCATCGTGTTCTGCTCAGTAATATAAGTAACGGCGGTGTAGGATTTTCACATCCCTTACCTGAGTGTTTCTCCATAGTGACTGCTTGCACGTGTTCTAAGGGATGAGTGTGCCTGAAGGCTTCTGTATTCTGGTATAAGATTTCCCCCTTAGCGTGAACTGTCACATGACTCCTCAGAGCTCACCGAAGGCCGTGCCATAGCAACCATACGCCCTAGGTTTCTCCCCAACACAAAATTTTCTGTGCACATGACTGAGTCTGCACTGAAAGCTTATCGCAGATCACATTTATGAGGTTTTTCTCTAGAGTGAATTGACATAAGAGTTACTGAATACTTCATATCAAAGAGATCGAAAGGCTGAAGGCCTTTCTTCATTGATTTCATGGCTCGCTTCTCAGGTGGTTCCCGGTGATCTCCTACTATACACACCTGTGTAGTCTCCGCCCACTGTATCAGAATTGGTCTGTGTGTCCGATACAATATAGAAGAAGTGATAGCATGTCCTTCTAAGGCTAGGTATTAAAAGACAACCTGGCTTCAGCATTAGCTCTGTCTTAGGTCAAATGCTCTTGGGGAACCTGTTGTTACATCATAAATATACTTAGGCCTATGGAGAGTCTTATGTGGTAAGGAAGTCAAAGTTCCCCACTCGCAACCAGCACTGACTTGCCCAGCCTGTGAGTGAGGCACTCTGGAAGGACATCCATCAGCACTAAAAACGCAGATACCTGTAGCTCCTGGTGACCATCCTGACTGCACCCTCATGAGAGATCCTGAGCCTGATACAAAATTAAGCCATTTCTGAACTCCTGACCCACAGAAATTGTGAGATAATGTCTGTTGTTTGAAGCCACTATGTTTCTGAGGAAAATCTGTTATGCAGCAACAGGTAACTCATACAGCTAGCATGACTCGTCGCAAGTTGTCTGAGGAATAAGAATCAATGAATGCTTTCCTAGTAAATATTCTAGTTACTAGAATATTCATATCCACCTATTATGTATTCTCTTATGCACAGAAAGGTAAGAGTTAGTAGTGAAAGATTTTCCACAGTGATTACACTCATAGGGTTTTTCTCCAGTGTGAGTTCTCACATGCTTCTTAACAGCTGAGAGATTATTAAAAGCTTTCCCACAGTTACTGCATTCGTAGGGTTTCTCCCCAGTATGAATTCTCTTGTGCACAGTAAGAGAAAAGCTACTGCTGAAGGATTTGCCACACTGATTACATACATAGGGTTTTTCTCCAGTGTGAGTTCTCATGTGCTGTGTCAGATACGAGCTCTTCCTAAAAGTTTTCCCACAATCATGGCACTCGTAAGGTTTCTCCCCAGTATGAATACTATTGTGCCCGGTAAGGGAGGACCTTGTGCTGAAGGCCTTTCCACACTGATTACATTCATGATGATTCTCCCTCGTATGAATTCTCTTGTGGCTTTTGAGGTTACAACTAGTGCGAAAAACATGAAAGCACTGGTTACATTCATAAGGTTTTTCTCCAGTGTGAATCCTTACATGTAATCTGAGAGATGAGGGGTCATTAAAGGTTTTCCCACAGTCATTGCATTCATAGGGTTTCTCCCCGTTATGTATTCTCTTATGAATGGTAAGATAAGATCTACTGCTGAAGGACTTTCCACACTGATTGCAGTCATACGGTTTCTCTCCAGTATGAGTTCTCTTGTGCTGGGTAAGGTTAGATTTTGTGCTGAAGACTTTAAAACACTGATTACATTCATTGAGTTTCACTCCAAGATGATTTCTCTCCTGTCGATTAAGAGATGAATGGCAACTATAATTTATAATGTTTTTGAAACTGTTACATTATGAATAAGTGAAGTTTTCACTGTTTTCAGTGCTTGTATACAACTTCTGCCCAGTTTGAGCTCTTAGAAGCTCAATAAGATACATGCTTTACCACAAGTCCTTATCATAGGCACAGAGCATTTTTTAAATAATTTTAAGACCACTGCACGATTCAACGGTCAAATTTAAGGAAACATTTACTTGTGGAAACTCTGTAGAGAAACAAGTTTGGAGCTAACTTATAATTTTCTCCAAATTCACAACTATTTCACAGCATCTCTCCAGAGACACCATTTTCTCATGTGCAAATGAGACTCTCCTGTTTATTTTGTGGCTTTTCTAACTTATGAAGTTCCCTATTGTGAAAAACCAAGAATCACCCCATGTTAGTCTTACCGCTTTTATACCATTAGAACGTTTTTTTCTAAAAACGTGCTTCTTAGGAGTTAACCATCTGTCTTTAAGTACAGTCTCCAAATCTGAAACACAATGAAAAGAAATTTAAGTTGATGGAGAAAAGAAACAGTAAAATGCACCACATGTAAAAGCAGACTAAGGAATTAGGGTTTTTGAGGAATTTGGCAATGAAAAGGATGTGAGTACGCAAACTGTAGGTATTAAAAGCGGAATTCTAAAAGGATTAAGATTTATCAGAGATTCACAAAAGAAAAAAATTTTCGGGGACGTTAAGTAGGAAGGAGGTGAACAAAAAGCTCATATGGAACTTAAATATTTTTTAAAGAGACAGCCTCCCTCCCTCCTTGAGTCCAAAGTAAAGTAGGAGATGTTGAACGGAAATTAAAAAAGGAAAAAAAGGTAGATGAGGAAGCTCATACCAAATGTTCTAAGCCATCCCCATCAGAAAGGACATTATACAAAGTTCCCTGATTGTATTTCCTAATGTAACACTCCCATGGCCCAAATCACTGGCGCAGATACTCCTCATGAGGACTAATCTCCACCTGGTGCTCACCTGGACAGGTGCCTGGGAGAATTCCTCTTTGCTCTGCCATCACCTTGTCTTCTTGCTCCAAATGAGAGATGAGGCTGGGTTCATTAACGTGATACCCTAATCATGGAGAAAAGACATGTTGAAGGGAGACTGTGCAGTTGACAAGCAACTCCATAAACCTGAAGTCAACAATTAAGATGGCCAAGTGTGACTTTTGGAGCAGTGGAATAATTACACTTAAATTCTAATCAATATTGTAACTCTCAAGGAACAACAATACAAGCATCCTCACTCAATATGTGAGTGATAGGACATAAATACATTTAACTGTTGAAAAACCAGAGGGTTGGAGCTGCCAAATACCTGCACAGTCAAAAATCTGCATGTAACTTTTGACTCCTCCAAAACGTGTTGTCCCTTAACATCCACAGGAGATTGATCCCAAAGCCTCCTGTGAACACCAAAATCCACAGGTGTTTAAGTCCCTTATATAAAATGGCATAGAGCCATGCACACCATTAGCCCTCTGCATTCACGGATTCCGAACTATGGACTGCAAATACTGTTTTCAGTCTGTGGTTGGTTGAATCTGCAATGTGAATCCTGGGACACGAAGGTCCAAGTATACATTCATCGAAGAAAATCCACATAAAAGTGGACCCACACAGTTCAAACCCATGTTATTCAAAGGTCAACTGTAGTCCCAAAGCCCATGCAAAAGTTTAAATCATACTTCAGAAGTTTTAAAGCTTTTAAAGCTTTTAACCATTCTTCTGTCAGATAAGAAACAGACATATTCAGTTCGTAGGGAAGGTATCGGTCAGAAAGCTTGTGAAGGTGGAGAATATCTCTGTCATCCACCACTACATTCCAGTTTTAGCCATTACCTTGACGACAACACCCCATATTGCCAGTACTGGAAGGAGCAGAATGGACTTTTATCTCAAGGAACTGTGATTATTTGCTTTGACTCGAAGGGCTTGCCTTTATTTATCAAATCCCAAACTCTCCGAGGGTTGAACTGACTACCCAGTGGGTGTGTGCTGAACATATTTAAAGGCAAATACATCAGCCACTGGCACCCAAAGGAAATAAAAAACTAACCAAAAACTTGGGAGGAAAAGTGTGAAATAAGATGTTCTAGGGAATTTTTGCAAAGCTACTTCATATCCTCTTTGTCAATGAAAAAGCAGGGCTGTGATAAATCATAAATTCCTAACTGGGCAGGTCATGGTGGGCAGTCACGCCCCAGGCCTTTAACTTCTTCAGTGAAAGATTTGTAAGCAAGCCCTGCCGCTTGTTCTTGTGCATGAGTACCCTCAAGTGAGCACATAATTTTGTTAACTACCCTGTAATCTGATTCCTGCCTAGCTTTCTCCCACCTTCATGTAATCTTCCTCGTGCTCCCTCCTTAATTTCGAATGCGTAAGACTGTCATTCTCCTGAGGACTTGTGATCTTGCTTCCTGGCAATTGTCAGAGTTGCTCCAATAAACTCTTATAAAAATTCTTCACAGGTTTTGGATATTCGTTACATTGACACTTTAAATCTAGTAAGCCTCAGGAATACCCCGGTTGGGCACATGCTCAGAAAAGACCTAAGGAGGCATTCGTCCTCATCACTGGCTGACCCCGAGGCTCTACACAAGCAGGATGTGAAGGCTATGGCAGAGTTATAATCTGCCTGGCTGATTCTGAAAGCAGTCCCCCTTTACACACACAGAGCCCGTCTGCAGAGACTGAGAGTTTTGTCACTATTGCTCCACGTGTTCACGACAATCTCTGACAAACCACCCAGTAACCATTAAGCTAACACGGCAGAGCTTCAGTGGCCGTACACGACAAATACATACATTATGAATTAATTTAGAAATATCGCTAAACACCTATACGACACCAACTACAACAAGCAACACCAAAACCCTGGGGATGCGAAAATCTGATTCCAGAATTGCCATATTATAATATTCCAAATATACAGTTTTCAACATGGAAAATTATGAGGGAAAGAAACAAATGTATGGCCTATTACGGTGGGAAAAAAATGGTAACAACTGTACCTGAGGAAGCCTAAATACTGAATTTACTAGATAAAGAATTGAAAACAACTATTTTAAATATGCTCAAAGACCTAAAGGAAACCATGACAAAGACCTAAAGGAAATAGTTAAGAACAAATTCTGATCAAGCAGAAAACATGTCAGAGATCGAAATTACTGAAGAAAAACTATATGGATTTTTTGGAGTTACAAAATACATAACACAAATTTAGAGTTTAACAGCAGATCTGAGTTGGCAGAATAAGGAATTAATGACCATGAGACAGAATAATTTATGTCACGTAGTCTGAGGAATAGAAAGAAAAAAAAAATGAAAAAAAAATTTGAGCAGAGCCTAAAAGACCTGTGGGATATCATCAAACATACTAACATACACATAATGGAGGTTCCTTAAGTAGAAAAGAGAATGAGGTACAAAGAATATTTGAAGACATAATGGCTAAAAATTTAACTAAATTTGATGGGAAAACACAAATGTACACAGCCAAGGAGATCAACAAAGCCCAAATAGGTTAAACTGAAAGAGATACATACAGATCACTACTATAACTACCCAGCAAGAAATGCTAATGGAAAACTCAGACTGAAATAAAAGAAAAATGTATATTAACTCAAATCCACATAAAAAAATAAAGAACATTGATAAAGGAAAATACATAGGTAATGTCAATAATAATTGGTTATTTATTTTAGGTTTACAGTCCTCTTTTTTTCTATATAACTTAAAAGACGAATGGCTAAAACAATTATAAATCTATGTTAATGGTCACACAACGTATATAGATATAATTTGTGACAAAGCAATATCAAGCAGAAGGGTGGGTGTGGGGACACATAGCTATATAGGAGCAAAATTTTTGTATGCTATTGAACAAAGCTGGTATTAAATCCAAATCGATAATTACAAATTAAAATGCTAACTGCAATCCCCAGGATGGCCACTAAAAAAAGAAAAAAAGACAAAACTGAAAAACAAAAAGATATGAGAAGGGAATTAAAATGGCCTACTAACAAATACTGAACACAAAAGTAAATGATAACGGAGAAATTGAGGATTAAATAGAAAACAAGTAACAAAATGGAATAAATAGGTCCTTCTTTATCAGTAATTACCTTAAATGTAAGAATAATCTATGTCCAATTAAAAGGCAGATTTTGGCAGAGTGGATAAAAAAATAATCCAATTATATGTTATATGTAAGAGACTCACTTTAGACCTAAAGACATTAACTGGTTGAAAGTCAACTGCTGGAAAAAAATATTACATGAAAACAGCAGCCAAAAGAGAGATTATGCAGGTGTATTAATTTCAGGCAGAACAGACTTTAAGACACAAATAATGATATCATTTAATAATAAAAAGGTAAATTCATCAAGATGATATGATTATACACATATATGTATCTAACGAAAGAGTTCAAAAATACATAAATTCAAAATTGACAGAATCGCAGGGAGAAAGAGTTTTGCAGTAAAAAGTACAGATCAACACCCCACATTAAATAGGTAGAAAAGCTAGTTAGAAGATCAACAACGAAAGAGAGGACTTAACCAATCCTCTAACTGGACCTAAAAGACATAGAATACTCCATCCAACAACAGAATAGATACGCATCTCAAATGCATATGGAACACTCTCCACTACAGATCATATGTTAGGACACAAAACGAGTCTGACTAAATTTAATAACAATGAAATCATACAAGTATCTTATCTGACCACAAGAGAATCAATTTAAAAATGAGTATTGGAAAACTTAATATTAAGACGACAATACTAACTAAAGCTATCTATAGATTCGATGCAATCACCACCAAAATTCCAACTGCATTTTCTCCTGCAAAAATGGATGAGCTGATCCTAAAATTTATATGGAATTGCAAGGGATCCCAAATAGATAAAACAGTCTTGAAAAAGAACAGAATAGAGATTCACACCTCATGACGTCAAAACTTACTTTAAAGAAACGGCAACAAACACAGCGTGGTCCTGGCACAATGACAGATACAGAGATCAGTGAAACAGAACTGAGTATACATGAACTCATACATCTATGGTCAAATATCTTCTGACAAGGGTTAAAAAAAAAAACATGCAATGGGGAAAGAATAGTCTCTTCTATGAAAAGTGCAGGACGACTCAGCAGACATATGCAAAACAGTAAAGTGGACACTTTCTCCAAACTGTATAAGAAATTAACTGAAAAAAGGATCAAAAACCTAAATGACGAGCTAAAACTAGAAAATTCTTGGAAGAAAACATAGGTGTAAATGTTCGTGACTTTGGATTTGGCAATAATTTCTTGAGCATGACACCAAAAGCACAAACTAAAAAAGAAAAAAATAATAAATTGGACTTCACAAAATTGAAAGTTTTGTGTATCAAAGGATATAATCAAAAAAATGGAAAGAGCATCATTTCATATGACTGTTGACCATCTGCATGTCATCTTCAGAGACATGTCTTTTCATGTCTTCTGCCCATTTTTCGACTGGATTATTTTTTTTGTTGTTATCGAGTTGTATGTTTCTTATATATTTTAGATATCAACCCCTCATCAAATATATGATTTGTGAATATATTCTCCCATTCAGTCTGTTTTGTTGATAGTTTCCTTCACCGTGCAGAAGCTTTTTAGTACAATGAAACCCCATTTGTTGATTTTTGTTTTTGTTTTCTTGCTCGAGGAAAACATGCTCAACATCAAGAAAATGCAAATCAAAACCACAACGAGATATCATTTCGCACCAGTCAGAATGGCTGTTATCAAAAAGTCAACGAATAACATGTGTTGGTAAGGAAGTGGAGAAAAGGGGACCCTCGTGCCCTGTTGGTGGGATTGCAAATTGGTACAGCCCCTCTGGAAAACAGTATGGAGATTCCTCAAAAAACTAAAATTAGATATACCATACGACCCAGCAATTTCATTTCTGGGTATTTATCCAAAGAAAACAAAAACACTAATTCAAAAAGATACATACACCTATGTTCAATGCAGCATTATTTACAATAGCTAAGATAAGGAAGCAAGCTAGGTGACCCTTGACAGATGAATGAACAAGAATGGTACCTATATGCAGTGGAATATTACACGACAAGAAAAACAAATCTTGGCATTTGCAACATGGGTGAATCTAGAGGGTGTTATGTTCAGTGAAATAAGTCAGGCAGAGAAAGACAAATACTGTATGATTTCACTTACGTGTGAAATCTAAAAAAACAAACGAATAAATAAAACAAAACTAGAACAGACACACAGAAAAAGAGACCAAAGGGCTGGTTACCGTAAGGGAAGAGGTGGAGGGATGGGTGAACAAGATGAAGGGGAATAATATTGTGATACATTTGCATGATGACAGATGATTACTAGAATTAGTGGAGTAATCACATTATACGATATGGAAATGCTGAATCACTGTATTGTACACCTGAAACTAATATAACCAATATGATGTTGTATACCAACTCTACGTAAACATAAATTTAAAAAAAAAGAAAGTAGAAAAACACCACAGACTAGGAGAAGTTGGTTGCAAATCATATTTCAACTAAGGGTCTAGAATTCAGAATATATAATGAACTTTTAGAATTCAAGAACAAAAAGATAAATAACTGAATTTAAAAATGGGCAAAGGACTTGAACAGACATTTCTCCAAAGAAGATGTACAAGTAGTCAATAAGTACATGAAAAATGCTCAATGTTGTTAGTCATAGGAAAATGCAAATCAAAACAATGAGGTAACAATGAAACCCCATTTGTTGATTTTTGTTTTTGTTTTCTTGCTCGAGGAAAACATGCTCAACATCAAGAAAATGCAAATCAAAACCACAACGAGATATCATTTCGCACCAGTCAGAAACAAGGTTGGCAGTTTCTGAAAAAGCTAAACAGTAATAAGTGACCGAGCATTCGACTCCTAGATATATACCCAAGAAAACTAAAAACATAGGTTTAAATAAAAATTGTACACAGATATTCATAGGAGCATTATTTATAATAGCCAATATGTGGAAACAACCTAAATGTTTATTGACCAATGAATGCATAAACAAAATGTATGGTATATCCATAAAATGCAATGTTAGTCACAAAAAGGAATAAAAAACTGATACATGCGACAACATAGCTAGACCTTTCTTATGCTGCCTGAAAGCCAGGTACAAAAGATCACATATTTTATGATCCAATGATATGAAATGTTCTAAATAGGCACATGAAAAAAGACAGAAAGCAAATCAGTGACAGCCAGCAGTTGGGGTGGGGTGTGACAGATGCCGACCGGTTAGTGGGGATGGGCAACCTCTGAGGGCCATGACAACGTTCCGCAGTTAGACAGTGTTGATGGTGGGGCAACACTGAATACATCGAAGCCACCGAACTCCATACTTTCAAATACTTAAGAAAGCGAATTTTCTGTTGTGTGAATGTTACCTCAGTTAAAAAAAAAAGAACGAGAGACTTGTTTCTGCATTAAACAGACGTAGGAGTGATATCAGCTTTACCGAGTGAGGCCAGGTTCCTGCAGGTCTCCAGCATCACATCTCTGTACAGTTTCCTTTGGGAAGGGTCCAGCAAAGCCCACTCTTCCTGGGTAAACTCAACGGCCACATCCTCAAAGGTCACCAAGTCCTAAAATCATCAAAAACATGGCCTAGCCAAGGACACTCCCACCAAGGCCACATAAGAAAAGGGCCAAGGATGACAAGAACAGGGACAGAGAATCCAAAGCAAGTGTACTCTGTACATCAGAGTTCTGAGCTCTGCTCTCATTTGCTACTGGGCTCAGTCCTCAATCTCAAAGGAGCATAGGCCTGGGACATTGTAAAAATCAGAGAAACACTTGGTGAATGTATGAATGATTTCCTGATGGCCACCGTCAATTGCTTGAATTTAGAAAATAAGCAGGTCTTTACGCAGCTTCCATTTAAAACTATCAGCAGAATGATGTAGATGGTGACCCTGCAGGAAGCTTTGCAATGTACTAAATACTGACATACACTGACTCTGTCTGGGTGGCCCCTCACCCTCCATCAGATGCCCAAAGAGCCTGAGGTGCCTGAAGACCTGGTTTGGCTGTGAAGCTCCAGGTTACTGAAAGATAACATGCCCAACTTTTGGCCAAAGGAATAATGATTTGGAAAAAACGTATGACTCACCAGTAACCAGCTTGTCAGGAAACCATTAACAAACCCTTCCTCCTCTGTGCATCCTTTTTGAGATGTTGGAAACAGGGGAGACTGAACTGGAGAAGAAGAAATGAGTCATAAATGAGTCACAAGAATCCAAGTGTACTCTATATTCTAGCACTCACAAATCCGGAGGCTTTCCCACCTACCTGTGAATGGCCCTACCCCAGTATGTACATGTACATGTACGTACGTACGTACACACACACACACACACACACACACACACACACACACACCCTTTCATTAACAAACCAGAGCAGAGAGCTTCCAGTCAAGATGGCGGAGTAGGTAAACACTGTGCCTGCCTCCTCTCACAACCACATAAAAATTACAACTGAACTACAGGATAGCTGTCATTGGGAGTCACCTGAAGCCAAGATGAACAGAACTCCTACAACTGAGGACACATAGGAGAGGGCACCTCAAGACTGATAAGAGAGAGGCAGAGACACGAAATGGGTTGGTTCCAGATCTGCATGTGGCAGGTGAGAATTGGGAGAAATATCTCGGCTGTGGAGACCGCCCCCCTGGAAGAGTGAGGGGTCCCGGCCCCACATAAAACCTAAACAAATAGCATCTGGCCTTGACATGCTCTGTAACCCCATGCTGCGCAGCCCCAAGCCTGGCACTAGCGCAGCTGGCCATGGTTTATGGCTTGGCCTTTCAGGCACTTCCAAGCCCAGCGTGGGTAGTGGCCATCTGCAGATTGTGTGGTGGCTCAAGCCAGGTGGTCCAAGGCAGGGCACAGTCTGCAGCTGATCTTGGCCTTCAGCAGGGCCCCTCCTAGAAGAACCCGGCCTGCAGGCCCAGTGGCCAGCTTCGGCCTGAGTCGGAGCACCACCTGGGGTCACATCTGAGGACAACATACCCAAAAGGCAGACAGGGAAGGTACCACAGACTAGCTAAAATGAATCCTGCTCTAGAGGGTCAACCCCTGCAAAACAGCTCCTCCCATGTAGTCATGGCCGGTCATCACAACCAATCAATCCAAGGGTCGATCCCTCCTATAATGAACAAACAGCAACCAAGGCTCAACTACAACAGGATGGCACACACAACCCACACAAGAAACACACCTGGCGCACCTGGCTCAGGTGACCAGGGAAGACTGTGCCACTGGGACCCACAGCACACCTACTACGTAAGGCCATTCTACTGAGACCGGGAGACATTCTGCAATGTCCTACCTAATACACAAAAACACACTCAAGAAAGCAGCCAAAATGGTTAGACGAAGAAACATGTCCCACATGAAGGAATAGAATGAAGCTCCAGAAACAGAATAAACAAAATGGAGATAAACAATCTACCAGCCTCAGAGTTCAAAACGCCCATTAGAAGATGTTCAATGAACTTAGGGGAAGAGTAGATGAACTCAGTGAGAACTTTAACAAAGAGATAGAAAACATAAAAAGAGCCAGTCAGAAATGAAGAATACAAGAACTGAAATGAAGAATACCTTAAGAGCAATCAAGCGTAGATTAGATGATCAGATCAGTGATTCAAAGATAAGGTAGGAGAAAACACCCAATCAGAACAGCAACGAGAAAAAAGAATCCAAAAAATGAAGAGAATTTAAGAGGCCTCTGGGACAATATCAAGCATACCAACATTCTCATCATAGGGGTACCAGAAGGAGAAGGCGGCAAGGAATTGAAAATATATTTCAAGAAATGACTGAAAACTTCCCTAATCTGGTGAAGGAAATAGACATACAAGCCCAGGAAGCGCAGAGACTCAAACAAGATGAACCCCAAAAGGCCCACACCAAGATACATCATAATTAAAATGCCAAAAGTTAAAGACGAAGAGAGAATCTTAAAAGCAGAAAAAGAGCAGTTAGTGGTCTACAAGGGAGCTCCCATAAGACTGTCAGCTGATTTCTCAACAGAAACTGCAGGCCAGAAGGCACTGGCAGGCAGTATTCAAAATGGTGAAAAGCAAGGACCTACAACCAAGATTACTCTACCCAGCAAAGCCATCCTTTAGAATCAAGGGACAGATAAAGAGCTTCACGGATGAGAAAAAGCTAAAGGAGTTCATCGCCAAGCCAGCATTACAGGAATTATTAGAGGGACTTTTGAGAAGAAAAAAAAAGATCAAAACTATGAATTAAACGGCAATAACTACATATCTATCAACAATTACTTTAAATGTAAATGGATTAAATACGCTAATCAAAAGATAGGGTTTCTGAATGGATAAGAAAACAAGATCCTTACATATGCTGCCTACGAGAGACTCACTTCAGATCGAAAGACACACACGGACTGCAAGTAAAGGGATGAAAAAAGATGTTTCAGAAACATGGAAACAAACAAACAAAAAAGCTGGAGTAGCAATACTTAAATCAGCCAAAATAGACTTTAAATCAAAAGCTGTAACAAGAGACAAAAAAGGACCCAGTAATCCCACTTCCAGGTATTTATGTGAAGAAACCCAAAATGCTACTTTGAAGGGACATGTGAATCTATATGTTAATTGCAGTATTATTTACAGTAGCCAAGATATGGAGGCAACCTGGCTGTCCGTCAATGGATCAATGGATAAAGAGGTAGTACATATATACGACGGAATATGACTCAGGCGTAAAAAAAGAATGAAATCTCGCCAGCTGCAACAACATGGATGGACCTAGAGGGTGTTGTACTGAGGGGAGTAAGTCAGACAGAGAAATGTCAGATGTGGAATCTAGAGAAAAGGATAAACCAACAACAGAAACAAGCTCCTAGATACAGAGAGCATTTTGAAGGTTGTCAGATTGGGGAGTTGGGGGATAGCTCAAGGGAGAGGGGATTATGAGGCACAAATTGGTAGTTACAAAACAGTCATGGGGATGTAGAGTATAGCCTGGGGAATAGAGTCAGTAGTATTGTCATAACTACATATGGTGTCAGATGAGTACTGGATTTATTGAGGTGATCACTTCAAAAGTTACAAAAATAATGTCTAATCACTGTGTTGTACACCTGAAACTGACATGATATTGTATGTCAATTATAATTGAAAAAAGTAAAAATATAAATATGTATAAAAAAACAGAAACCAGAGAAGAGCCCTGACTCAGGAAGAGCCAGGAGACAGCGCTCAAGGGTTATTCTATACTTGAGGAACAGATTCTTCCCATTTTGTAGATGAGGAAACTGAAAATCTAAGGGACATCATTGTTATTTGATCAAGTTTATAAATAGAATAAGAGCTAAAATTCAAAAGCTCCTGCACATTCACAACACAGGTGACATCTGCACAGACTCTCAAACCACCGAAGTCCCAAATACCCAAAACCACCTAGTTAGGTACCAGTGACTGGGGTCCATTCCTGCCTCATCTGCTCATCCTCCACCCCCTACCCACAGGCCTTTAACACTTGGACTCTGAGAGCTGCGGGGACCCCACGACTTACCACAAGTGGGGAACAGAACCATGGCCACAGTCCTGTGATTCGGACAGTAAGTTTTCCTGAACGACGGGGCAGTGGGGGAACCAGGAGGCTCCTCCTCCTACTCCCACAGCACACTCAGAACGAGGCCCTGGAATAAATGGGAAAATATGAGAAAACTCACGGCCTTTCTCTCTCTCCAGGTTACTGAGGACAAATCTACCTCAGCCTGGCCATCATGCCCTCCTTCAAAATGCAAGGCCTTTGTTATTGGGCCTTTCTTCTGCCTAGCAGGTGATGAACTCAGGGTCATGTGAAGGCAAAACCTAACTCCTGTCCACCATGGTATGACCAGTATATTACTGCTCCACCCCATTTAAAATCTTCAGCTTCACTTAGTTTCAGGGCACATTCTCCCCACACACGTGGTTACCACAATCTACAACCCCTATTCACTCAAGACTTTGGCACCGGACTCTCATTATTCTTTCAACTTCCAGTCCCACCTCGCGTGGACACATCAGACTTTGTATTATGAGTCTGCCCCACTCCCTTTAAGCCACGCATTTCCATGGGCAGCATCCCAGGCTTTGTCGTCACCTGACAGTGTTTCACCATCCAGACAATAGTTCAGAAATTTCAGTCTCTGACACAACCTCCTAAACTTCTGCCTTGTTCGACTCATTATTTTTCTTTCACTATTTGTTTCTTCTACGACACAAAGAACTCAGTCCACCTACTGTTCTACTTTCTTGCTGTCCATCAGCCACCCTCTCTCATTTCATGCTTACACAGCTTGGATTACAACGTCCCTCATTTCCACAAATTCCTTATGCCCCCCGCCACCTTCACGGTGGCCCAGCAGAACTCCAACCAAGTAATTACAGTAATCTGTCTGCTCAGACCATTCTGCGCAGACCATACTGCAAGAAAACTCAAGCAGCCCTGTGAAGAGAGCTGCTTGGAAAGAAACTGAGGCTTCCCTCCAATAGCCAGCACCAACATGCCAGCATGTGAGTGAACCACCATGGAAGTGAATCCTTCAGCACAGTCAAGCCTTCAATGATTGTGATCCCGGCTGACATCCAGCTAAGAAATCATGAAAGTTCCTGAGCCAGATCCTTCAAGCTAAGATGAATTCATGAACTACAGAAACTGTAAGAGACAGGAAATGACTATCATTGTTTTAAGCGACTAAGATTAGAGATAATTTGTTATGCAACGGTAGATATCAAATGCACCCTCACTTTCAGCAGATGGCCCTGAATCCTACTTCTCAAAATGACCATGAGAGAAATTTACCTTCCTATCTTACCACCAAAATGACAATCAGAACATAGCTTCCTCCATCTTCTGTTACGAACCAAGCGCTGCCTCCTCTTCTCCATAAGGCCAGCCACCGAGGCTTCGTACTGTCCCATCCCACCTACCTTCAGGCGCTGCACACGATCGGTTATCTCGTCTACCCTCTCCTTCACACTCTCCCACTCTGCTAGCCAAGCCCTCACACCATTTAACCCATGCAGTGTCTCCAACAGTGAAATAAATCTACCCTAAGAGCAGTTTTCCTTCCAGGCACTTCGCAGTCTCACCCCCTCATCACAGCCACTGTTTTCAGTCTGTCTCCCTTCCTCATGTCCCACTCCTCACCGCGTAATCTGTTTCCAGCACTACCAACTCAATTGGATAGAACCACCGATCTTATTCATAGAGAAGCAGGTTGCAGCTACACTCTTAGCATTTATCAGTCAGGTCAACAAAGACGGGAGGGACCACCTCTTTTATTGGCAAGGCTGTATGGAAAGGCACTCTGATACACTGCTGGAGTACCACTCCTGCAGAAGGAATCTGTCGACATAAAGCAAAAT